TATTTTTAGTTACATTCTTTGTCAATAAATATTGTGCCTATTTGACTTACACAAAGTTCACACCGTTTAAGAATCACTGATTTATTGCTCGAATAGCAGATTATTCCCTTCATTAAATACTTGGTTTTATGTCAYCTGCAAATGGCACTATAAACTCCTTTTCTCTTGTCATTTTGCCTTTTCTCAACACAGYTTCATGCATATACCTACATTATTATGTAAAGTACGCGTGACAAAACAATCTTCGGATACTCTTGGGGGTATTTTATATAGAACACGTACTTCCTATATAAGTATTTTTTATCAATACCTCGATAGAAATAAAATTAAATAACCCAAAATATTTGTTCTGTTTGCTTTTAATAGGCGCATATTATTATACTATTTTGTTCTTTGTTACCAACTATTTCGTTTTCGATTTTTTTTTTCATCCTGTCCCATTGAACAATTTTGAATTTTCTAATCCTGCAAATATAATTGTAAACTATTATTTAAATTATTTTCTTTCTGTAAAATAAATAATGAAATGTTTAAACATGTTTTATGGTACAAATTAAAATAATATTTCCGATTCAATGCAAATTTTTAAATCCACAGGAAACAATAATTACAAATGATCCACTAAACTATTCTTACGAACTATATTAATCTTTAAATAGAACTACTTTAAAATGACCTCATTAAACTCAGTGAATATTGTGRTTTTAATTAATATATCAATGTTGTAAAATATTAAGTTAGGTATATTATCCTATTCTATAAATCATACGTCTCCACATTTTAAAATATACGATTAAAATATAATTTAACATACAATAATTTTTCATAACACAGATTAAATATTAATTTTGACTGCTCTGACATAAGAATTATTTTTAAAAATATGTATAATTATTCAATTTATCGATTAAAAACAACTTTAAAATGTTAAACTTTAATTATCCAAAAAWTATAAGATGGAAATATAATTTGATTTTAATACAAACATCAATTAGTTTAAATCAAATGACTTAAAACAAATTTTGGTTTTTTTATTTTAATTTAGCCATAACCATAATCATAAATCTATGTTTAAAATATTATATGTAAGTATAATGTTTCTGAATTATGTTAATGATAAATTATACATAACAACAAGRGTGTACATTAAAAGTTAGGTTGGAGATATCACACAAAAGAAATATAGTTTTTTTTTCAAATTAATTTTAAATTATTAAGGATGCATAATATTACAATAATATAACTACAAATATTTTATTACTTTGTATATTTTTTTATACTAAATAAAATATAATCCCCTCCTTTCCTATTTGTGCGTTCCTTCATTTGTAATAGCTGCCAAGATTTTCATGACGATGATTGATGGGCAGATTTTAAAATATCATAAACTGACGAACATCAAACATGTTGTGGATGGGTGACCCTCCAAGGAAACGTCTCCATATAAAGAAATAACAAGAAGAGAAGTTAAATTGAAATGTATATATCATCCGATTTTACTTTATATATTTTCTAAATATTTTCGTAAAAATATCCAATGGGGCAAATTTTATTTTATTTTTTCTTTCAATTGCTCAATACTCAACTCTAAAGGTCACACGAATATAAAAATATTCTGATGTTTCAACAGCATATAAGCATTCAAATATTTGTGTATGCTCTCACATATTACCTATTTAAGAATWAAATCTATTATTAAGAATTAAACCATTCAGTATAATATACTAACCTACAATTATTAYTATTATTCGCAAACGGTCGGATGCGAATGTGATCAATACCTCTGCAAATGCTCCAGGAACCTAATGACTAATGAGTAATTACAATGTTTGACTATAATAGTTCACTACATGTATATTATAATAAATTATGAACACGAGACATATTATTATGGAGTTTGTGTTTTGAGACGTATTAAATAATAAATTATCACCGTGTATACAATAGGTTAACCTCCTATATTATAATAGTCGTCAGTGTATTTATATAATGCTATTGTTTAGGTTACACTGTCACGCGATCGTATCAGATTCTATCGTGTTTCACGACCTCTCGGGAAATTAGGTTGATTAAAATAAAAAAAAAAATTAAAACTCTTATACAATTATAAAACAATATTGCACGAGTTAAAAAAAAAATATGATAACGATAATGATAAAACTTAWAAATACAATTTGAAATGGATAATAATTATAATAATCGCGAGTTTTTTTTAATATAAATATTCTATTTTGTGTGTGTTTCAGGACGCCTACGCGTTGTGGGCGTGTGCCGCGGTTTTGCCTCACTGGACACGGACGACGGCGAAACAGGGACGCCGCGGCCGTTACAGGGTGAACGCTTGCCGGTCCGTGTGTCTGGATGCCGAACAAAAGTGTCCGTGGCTTCTTCCGGTGGCCGATGACGCCAACCCGTACGCCGGCGAGGCATCCTTCACTTGTATAGGTAAATAGACAACGGTAAAATATCATTTACTCACGCTTCCCCTTCTGAATTGTGCGTTTAGACAATCTGGGAAAATTATAGCCCCCAAAATGACGATTTATTGTTTTATTGATTGCAGTAAAATGGCCAAAGCGGTCTTTTTGATGCCTAYATACAATTAATATTCTATATTAACCTGAGTGCAGGGAATCTGATACCTTTTTAACTGGAAATAAAATATGGTTCGTGCAAAAGCCATCCTCTGACTGTGYGTGTCCAGGAAATGTCGAAAACTAACCGTTAGAATAATACGTAGTTCAGGAAAAATATTTGTCCGATCCTCAATTTACCACTCATAATACTCTACGTCAAGTTAGGTACCTAATACTGTACTTAATTTTTAAGAACCCAATCGCATACTACAGGGTGTTTAGACATTAAAAATAAAATTATTTTATTCAAATTAGCAATATTATTATCGAATTCTGGTTACACTCTATTCATACATAATATAACGAATATACACGACCGGTTTAAAGGCAGTACATAGTACAGAGTTCCGGATGATCAGCTGGCAAAAATTAATAATAATATWTATATTTTATATTTGTTTTATATTTGTTCACTGAAACGACCCTAGGTCTTCGTCGATGCTTATCACAAGTGGGTAGTAGAAAGATCACGTGAACTATTTATCTATGTATATAGTGATATATACATGATACTACCCCCTTCTCCAAAAAGAGACATGACGTGGGTCTTCACTCCCAATGGAGTGAGACCTAGTTGGAAACCGGATGACAGCTTGGGGATTTGGTGATCACGTAGAAGCCACACAAATTTTTTTTGCACTTTGCTATGAAACGTAGTCAACTGCGTGACCACTGCGTCACTCCGGCCCCCAATAATAATATATAGCATATTTTKATATCGCTGGTCGTAATACGTTTTCAAGCCGAATAACCTAATTAATTATTATGAAYCATAGTACCTAAAATATGAGTTTTATCACACGAGGTATATCGTCCGTCCAGCTTCATGGATAGGCTTTAAATCACGCGCAGCTGTCACCGAAGCCCCAAAGTAACGCCTAAACAAGCCACTGCAGCAGAATGGGCGCCGAAAAATCTCGTTTTGCATTAGCCGGCCCGTTGTTCGCCAAACCTACGCTGTGCATATAATAGTTGTTCGATTTACGCCCGATTTGCACCACCCTCTTTTCAGCTATACTTGCCACCACACACTACCGGCGTAATCGGACTTTAATTATTTATATAATATCTATCGCTAATTGCCGCCGCTGATGATGTTTACGCGGAAAAATCGAACGACGCGTGCACCATAAATCGTGTGCGCACGTGTGTAGATCTATGCGGATGAGCGTGTGCTGAGAGAAACGGCGTGACGCCTTCTTTCCTGGCGTTCGCGCCGTCGCCACCGCCACCAGCAGCACCGCCGCGCCACCGATCGTTGTTGCTAAGGGTCCCTCCTCGCCGGCGAGCGCCAGCTAGTTTGTGCACTGTGCGCGTGTGTGTGGGTTTGTCCGTGTCCGTGTGTGTGTGTGTTTGTGTGACTGTGCCCTATACACACTGGCGGGTGCCGTGGGTGAGGTGAAAAACTCGGGCACTCCGCTTGTCGCACACCATCCCTCGTACGAGGCGCAGAGCGGCACAGATGCGTCATATATAAAATATTATTATACATGCACGCCCGTCTTCTCGTTAGGTTTTCGGGTTACCCTTTTCCAAACTATAATAATAATAATAATAATATATTACGGAATAGCGTATCGTAATAATATGTTATTATTACTAGGTATGACTATTACTATATTATTGTACCCGTCTCGGGCCATCGGCAGAAGTGCAAGCACTAGTACATCAGTGGGCATCATTGTAATGCGTTTTAATTCGGAAACGTCGCACTGTCGCAGTCGTGGTTCGAATTATCATTATTGATTATTATGATAATTGTTATTATTATACATAGTTGACCATCACATTTTCGTTTTTCGCTTCCGGTTTGTCATTTCCGTACATTATTGTTATTATCGTTATATAAGAACCGCCTGCATGGTCACTATAATAAGTATAATATATAAATATCTCATTTGAACGGTTTTAATAAGCACGTACGGTAATATTGCTGTTGTTGTTATCGTTATTGCCGTCCTAATGGTTCGAGTACGCGTGTTAAATAATATATATATATATAATAATAATATCTGCTAATACTGCAGGATTCATAGTTGGCAACAGTAACCTTTATTTCACCGATACAACGATGCCAACCAGTATTGTCTCCGTACGTTTTATCTACAACTATTATAGCCCTTTGCATCGAGTTAATTATTGTCATTATATCGCACACAGAAAACCTTTGAAAATATATTTAAAATTCAACAAACAAGGTAAATTCTTGGCTTTTTGTGTGTTGTTGTTTCAAAGAAAACATCATTTATTACCTGATTTAATATTTCTAGTAAAATATTTTGGCGTATAATTTGTTTGTTGTAAGATGATTGTATAATTTTATGCTAAGCAGTGCTCTATTTCTCGTTGGTGTGTTAAGTACTGGAATCATTTATATTTGAAATTAATTCAGAAGTACGCTTTAATATAAATTTGTTAATATAAATCRCATTAATTAAACAAAATAGAGACTGAAACTYACACAGGAACGTGTTAAATACATTTAAATAGTTATTTTTTCTTCTAGAAATTTATGCAATCAAAATTAATGTATGGTGTTTAATTTTATATCAATCCTGATTCCCAGTATACCTAATTTCGATCATCCTTAACTCATATTGGATGAATAYTTTTTTTTCTTATGGTAATTGTAGTGGTTAAATCTCTGGGGTATCTTGTGGCCAG